TCCAAGGGTCATCAAACACATTCTCCAAATCTGGACGCTCTGGAACACCCGCATCAGGTACCCAAGGTTTTAGCTCTCTTCCCATATCAACATGAGAAGACTGTGATATAGAAGAGTCTGTCAACAGCTCCATCAGCTTCTCACTCTGAACGACATTTAAGCTGGCGTCCCTGGATATAGAGAGATCCTAACACCAAAATCAATGAAAAAAAGGAATGACAATGTCAAAAATCAAAGTAATCACCCTGCCATGCAGTGCGTTGGCATAAATTTAAACAGTAAAAGTTCCACTGCAGTTAATAAAAGCAAGCACACCTTAGCCACAACTTGCACAAGTTCATCTGCAGGAATAATGAAGGTCTTGGAAGGGGGCTTTCTGACAAACTCATAACGGGATTTAGGCCCTCGTAAAGTACCGTCTCTAATCAAGCTTGCCATCTTTAGAATGATTCCTGGAAGTTTCAAACAATTTGTAAATTGCAAGTAAAGGAACGTATTTCTATGCTTTACATCTTTAAGGGGGAAACGATCTGATTCAGAGCCTCACCAAAATCCTTCTCTACATCAGCAGCATGAAATATACCACTATACACCGTGCCATTTTTTAGATGTGCTTCCACATGGTGCCCGATCTTACATGTTGCGAGGTACACTAACCGATCACGCAAAGAGCTCCCTAAGCTTCCAGCATCCCCATCTAATTCCAAATATATATCAACAAGTATGAGTACTCAGAACCTGACTCTGCAGATAAATCAAGAATATCAACAGCTAACCTGTATTTGGTGTCTTTTCGGGTTGTGACTTTATCGACTGTGCCTTATTTGACACACCCTCTCTTTCACCTCTTCTGTGTGAACTTCCATTTGATGAGGATTTCGACTGAAGAATATTCATTGCAGCCTCAAACTGTTCAAACTAACAAGAAAAGGGAGATAAAGAAGTGTTTTACTAAGTGTTGACAGTTAGGTCTCAAGGTAAAATGAGCCCGGCAAATTAAGTTCCAATGTGAACTCTTGCTGGCAACAAATATCCATTGCTAAATTTCACAGGCGTAACTACTCAACTGTTACAGAAACTATAATAGAAGGTGACATCTAAATCCACGAATCGATGTAGGCAGACAAAAGCACATATCATATATGCTGTTCTGCAACTTCCTCAATTACAAGGTAACCCCAAAATATAACTGAGACAAGATAGCTATACCGTAAAGAAAGTCATAGAGCTTGGAACATGTGAACAAACAAAAAGGAGTATAAAATATTTATAACTAATAAACGATGATTTGAATGCCAGCTTATGCTCCAAAACAAAGTCCTTACTGTAGGCAAGGAAAATATATAGCCTGATCACTATCTAACGGGAAAATACAATCAGAGAATAGCCTCGCCATAACATAAACAAGAGCTGGATTCATGCATCAAACATACCGATCGTTAGTGGATGAAAAAACGGGGGAAAAAGATAAGTGTTGATGTTTAACGATCATAAGGAAATATAGACATCCTTAATGGAAACAAAACCAAAGATTTTCGGCACAAACAGATGCAGAAAAGGAAAGCACTAAAGCCAATCAATGATACAATCAACAGCAATCAAGATAGTCAATCTCCAACGTATACGAACTTTAAACCTACGTATTCCAGTACAACAAACCCTAAATCGCCTACCCGAATCACAAAATTCCCAAAATCTGCTCCGATAGCGGAAGATTAAAGAAGCGAAGAACATGAAATAGATTAAATTACAGAAGAAGATGATCTTTACCTCAAAGAGCTAATCCGATCAGAAACCAACCCGATTGCACACCGATAAACGAATGCTCCGAAGGGTGGAGGAGACGAGTTCGACAGTTTCCGACGCAGTGAGTTAGGGTTCCAAACAGAGCTACGATTTGCGCGAAGAGAGTGACGGTAACCGATTCACCATGAATCTTTGAGCAAAACGTATTCGGATACACAGTGATCGGAGGTAAGCAACACTTTGATCTTTGCGAGAAGCGAAAATCATGAAAAGAAAGAACAGCTACAAGAAGCAGATCGTCTGTATTAGGTTTTGATCTCCTACGGGCAAGTGCATCCTAAACTAATATGGAAAAGGATTTATTTGGGCCCAACAAACGTTATGGGCTTAAATTGGTTTATCGGTTTTATGGGCTCAACCTTGTCTTTTTCTCTTCTTTTTCTGTATATTTCCTTTTATCGATCACTTGTTTTTTTTTTACTTTGTTAATTTGATCGATCTTCGATCACTTACCTTAGCCATTAAGAACATCTAGCTTTCCGACTTCGTAAGATTAACTATTATATATACCTATCCGATGCTTTTAGTAAAAACAAAAGGGATCATTCTAGATCTTTTAACTAAAGGATCAAGCATTCGATTATCATTTACCTTTTCTTCGTTTGTAAAAGAAATCAGCAAGAATAAAGAGATTGATCAAAGCATAACCTGAAGCAAAGAAATGAGCTTTTAAAAGCATATGGTTTGCTTAATGATGGGGTTGATGTTAACTTAGCTTTCAAAATGGTATTTAGTTGAAGTTTGAAGGAGACAGAAAGGTGGGGGGGGAAAGCATTAATAGGCTTAGTTGGGAAAACAACTCTATAAAGTTTAAATTATATAAATTAATAGTAATAAGCTTCATTGCATGTATCATCATCACTTGTTTTTTTTAAGATAAATCACTTTATGCCTTTTTCAGTTTCGAAGGTGCAATATACCATTTGTCACCATAAAGCTAGGCATAAATATTATCCTAATAATTGTCAAAATTAAGTAAGCAAAATTATCTTTAAATTCTAAGCCCTTTACCCTGACTTATTTAACTAGTTATATAAACCAAGAAAATAATCAATGGATGAGAATCACGTGAATCATAGATGAGATTACTTACACATGGAATCTGAATACTATGTTACATACAGTATACATAGTATTTAAGGTGACCGCACAACAACAAAACTGGTGTGGCCTATAAAAAGTAACAGAATTCTATATATACGAAACTCTACGTAAGGAAAAAGAACTTGTATCCAAAATTATAAAAATACAACATGGTTTTGAATACTAGTAATTGACCGTCAAATTTAATTATGTAAATACTAAGATATTCGAGTGTATCCAAGTTAACGTGGCGAGAAGAGAGATCATTGTACAGTATTTCTTATAACGGATAGCTCATAGCTGTTGTTATAAAATACGGACCAACATTAAAAAAGGAAAGAGAAACAACAACATCAGACTATATAATATATAAAACTAAATACCAATAAACACACAGTGAATCAGTGATCGTTCACGTGCAATGTAAAGAAAAAAATTGCAGTATCCGATCTGCTCATTATTCACTGCTGTAAAATCTGTTTTTTTTTTCTTTCTTTTTAATCGAATATTGTTTCAGCTGTCGTCGTAAACAAAATAGATAAAATAAGAAAAATGACTAAAGTATTTAAAAATGAAGGAGTGTATTGTAACAAATTCCAGAGTGAAGTTAATTCTCGCCCGTTGCTTCACGGCGCTCCTGTGACCATCTGACATATATACGTATTGGTTTTGTATTTTATTTGAATGCAATTAATTTAATGTTGCCTATAAAGTATTAAATGTTGAATGAATTTGAATTATGGCTTGATAAATAATAGTAACGTTGGCCAATGGCTATTTATGTTAAGCACTTCCTATACTCCACTGTCTTAACTTTATGAATACACGTACAGTATATTGGATTCATATGTTACTCATTTTTTTTTCCTTTAACGGTTTCCTTCTTCTTTTGCTGGGTGCAAAATCGACCGCTAAAAATCATTTAACAATGCACGTGGATATTCTGCAAGGCTTCATAATTTATAAAAAAGAAACCTAAAAAAGCCCCATCATTTTATTTGTTGCTGAATAAGTGAATATCGTACTTTAAAAAAAAATAACGGAAAAGGAAAAAAGATAAAGAAAACAAATGAAGAGATGGAACAGATAAAGAAAATATAATTTGAAATTTTCTTGGTCCGATTTGTTCACACTCCCAGTCAGTAAAATACTAAAATCTAATAAGTATTAAGTACAAGTTTTCTAATTAATTATGTTCCATTTTCAATTATTTTCTACAAAAATTTTGCTCGACAATTATAGGTGCATGAAATATAGATTTGTGACTTTTTCAAAATCAAGGTTGATTATATCTACAAAACGATTTTTATGAAAATATGCAAAACGATATTGTTCCTCTCGCGGTTATTAAAAGAAATTACGACCGGTTTTACATTACAAGTAATAAAAGTTTTTGTGTTTACATTATAGAGCAAATGAAGTGTGGTCCAAGATATTTGAATTTTGAAGTAACAAGGTTATTGAAAACTAAGAAATTTTTTTTTAAACTGAATAATTACTATATCTTTTTTCGTGTGACTGAAAATCGATAATATAATTAAAACATAAATAAACTTTTTAAAAGAGATAAACATTAATCAAAACTTGACAGATTGCGGATACAAAGCAACAAATAAAGCTGTAGAACTATTCTTTTTGTTGCCAATAAGAGAATCTATGTTTTTTAAATAACAAAGTTAAAAGAAAAAAAATCTGAAAATAGCCGATAGTTGTTTCTGTTTTAGTAAAAGAAAAAAAAAAGAAGAAAGAGTAGAGCTTTGTTTATATAGGAACACAAAACACCACTTGTGCGCAAAACTTTCCCAGTGTCCGACGATCTCAAAGCCCAAATCTCAAAGCCC